GTCTTACCAACTCTGAGAGGCCAATTAAGTAAGAGAAAAAAATCTTTTGAAGTGATAATCAAGATAGCCCAGTACAGATCCTATGCTGGACCAAGTCTTTACCATCCTATCTTATCGACTTGAGAACTGGAATATTGCTTTGTTAAACACTAGTATCATTTAACCCCAGGAAAAGTTGTAGAATTGGTTCAATTATGTTATCCAGACAACAATTCCTTTGGAAGCATTTAAGGAGTATCTGAGAAAAAAAAACAAAATACATCAGCCCTCTGATGAATTTTATGGCATGAGAACAGGTAATTAAACTGTAAATGCTGATCTTGCTAATGCTTATAAGTGGATTATTGGAAATAAATAGTAGTTAAATGCCTTCAGAATTCAATACACATAATCAGAAACAACTGGCAAATCTACATCAGTCAAAACCAGTGTATTGTGTAGTTAGTAGAAAGCGGGGGTGGGGGGGAATCCCAGGGAATTAAAATACTTTGCAAGTGTAAATGGACTAAAGGGTAAGCTGAAAATACATTTTACCTATTGTTTATCCCGTGCTAGGGTCTAATGTGATTTCAGAACAGTCTTTAATTCTATTCTTTTCTGGATGATCTTGTCTAAGGACTCAATCCTTCTCCCAATTAAGTCCATTTACTGCCATGGAGGCAGGAACAGGTCATAAGAGTGCAGTGAGTGTATAGTAAAGGTTGGAAAGGGGAAAATGTTTAATAGAAAATAGTGGAATTCAAGGATGGTATAGGCAGGGACTCAAATAATAAATGACCACTGACAATGAGTTCAGTAGGAGATTCAGATGGAAATCCATGAAATTTGTATTAAAATAATTAGTTTCCTATAGGGGGAAGAAAAACAATCATGCTTTTCAGTGGTCTCCAGTAATAGACAGAAGTTACCATATACATTTTATTCTATTTTCAATATTTACATCCCATGGCTGAATTGATATGCTGAAAGACTCCATATATTCAACATTTGATATCAAGGATTATTCTGGGAAGATGTTGGCAGATCCCTCTTTGGTTTATTTTAGAAGTATGAATCCCATTCATTAGAATAGCTTTTCAAATGAATGGCTTGCAGCGTCCTCTTGAATAGCGTACTTGTGATTGATGTAAATCACTCATTCTTTGCCTTTTCAGTTTCATATCCTCTCTGGGATGGCTTCAGTCCATGTCTGGCAACCTAAATATAACAATAGTAGTCCTGTTAGTAACAGTAAGAGCACCTGTGAAGTGCAGGTAATGGGAGATTCAACACATAGCATTATTTAGCCATTAACCAGAAAAGAAAATGTGTGTGTTGATTTGAACCCACATTGGAGGAGAATTACTTTAGGAAATTGTACAGTACAAACAATCTTAAAGCAACAGACGGGCAGCCTATAATTAGTGAAAAGCTCGTGGACATTAGCCCTAGCATAGAAGAGACCAGTTACTTTCTGAAGGAAAAATTCAGACGAAAACTTTTCATTTCCTGAAGATGTTTAAGAGTTATAAACGGCTGGGGCGTGGTATCACGATTTTCTTTTATTTCAACACATTTGAATTATAGGCACCAGTCCAGATAATTTCCTGATTCACACCTAAAAAAGTCCAAGTACTCAGATTTGTGCCTGCAGTTCAAATGTGGATGCAAAATTACACATGCAAATATTACATTTCAAATTCCTCCTGCAAATATAGTGATGAAAAAGTGACCCTATATGTTATGTTATAATGCAGAATCAATGTGCAATCTTACATATATTGCCAATGAGAATATATCAACTAAACAAATTCCAACAAATGATTTAACTTACTATTCAGATTAAATAGAATCCTTCAGGAATCTATTTTTTATGTTCATAGTCAAGATAAAATTGTGACTTACTAGTCACACATAGAAGCTAATTTTTAAACAAAAGCTGGGACATTAAATTAAAAAAATCAAAACTGAATCAGTCAATGCTTATACCTATACTGTGTTCTTACAAACTAGGGTCTGATCCTGCACCCTTTTTTTTCACAAAATTCCTTTTGATTTAAGGGAAAACACATCTGAGGAGGTATGGCAGTATTACATGGTATTGCACAACATTACAGATTGTGCCCACAAGGAGGGATGCCCAAGAGGCACCCAAGTGCAAAATTAAGCCATTGTGTCCACATGTATTGTGAGAGGTATAATTGGTATTTCATTGAAATTATGTTGGTTCCAATTGTTACTAAGATTGCAATGCCTCAATAATAAATAGCAATACCTTGCACTTCTATAGCATCTTTTATTTGAAGATTTTAAACCAGGTTTAATTAAGCCTTCTAGCACTCTTAACAAGAAAGATAGATATAATTATAAACTATTATATAATAAAATACATATTAAGATAAAATATAATGATACTTTGGGATTATATATCCTTCATACTTCCTCCCATGCTGCCCCTCACATTAGGAAGAGCTCTCCATAAATATCTGCAAATCCATGTCTGCCCGCCTTCAAATCCCTCCTTAAAATTCCTCTTCTGTGATGCCTGAAAACAATTGAAAATAAAATATGATACAGACCTGCAGTTGATGTATCTTGACCTACAGTATATCAGCGTGATTTTGCAGTGATCTGTCTGATAAAAGGTAACTAATAATATATTGGAAATTGTAAAGGATGTTTAATGTAAGGGAGTTTTTTCATTTATTATGACTTTTAACCAATAGAAACTATATTCTCATACACACCCACACATACCTATAATTCTTTATCTATAAATATGAAAGTACATATGACTTGGAAAATTACACAAATACAAACTGTTTAAAATATAAGTATAGGAATCGTAGAATGTAAATAGCATGGCTAAATCTTTGACATTAAAACAAATCTGTGTGCATGTAGCAATACCCATTTAATAATGTGCACTAGTAACAAAATACGATACTTTGTTTAGCCTAACCAAAAGTGCTCAGTGGTTCTTTCTTTGTGTATAATCTCTTTTTTGACATTTGTAGAAGATTTTTAATGGATTAATTTTCCCTCCTAAACATGCATATTTACTCACTTCAGCGATTATGCACATTTTGCACATTACAGGACAGTGTGCACTTTAAAAATGTTGACTATATCTACTTTGCGCCTTACTTGATTTTCCATCTTCACCTTTGCCTTCTGCCCCCAATGTACAAATAGCTTAAATACAAGGGAAAAGGAGAAGCTAAAGTGATCACTCATGTTTGTTTTTCTCTCCTCAAAGTACATTTTGTACCTTTTCCAAGAAAGTGAATCCCTCAAATGCCACTTGAGATTTAAATGAAAGTGCACCATCATATTAAAAACAATAGGCCAGCTTTTGCCAACCTGACTCATGTTGAGTAAAACCTTATTATGCAAGTATTCCAGCTGAAGTCTCAGGGCTATTCACCTCGAGTAAGGGTGGCAGAACCCAACTCACTGTGAAAAACTCTTAATCAAAAAAAGTTTGAAGACATTTAGAAGAATTTGTCATTTGAATTAAGATTTCTTTATAAACAAAGTCATTCTGTTCTTATTGTACTTGTGCACCAGTTAGATGTAAAGACCACTGCATTTCTTCAAGAGATATGTTTGCTTTAATATTGTTAAGAGAAATAAAAAGTTCCTCCCTGTACACGTTTGCAGATTGATTTCTGTAATAATGTTGATAAATGTTCCTCTGCAGCATAGACAGTGTGTGTGTGTGTGTGTGTGTGTGTGTGTGTGTGTTTGTGTGTGTGTGTGTGTGTGTGTTTCTGAGAGGGAGACCTTTCTTCCTTTCCTTTTTGGCAAGCTGAACAGAAGGATCTATTTTTTGACAGTCTGCCATTCTCAAGAGGGCATAAAATCTGCATTTCCTTTCATCTGTCTGGATTAGTGGATTATCCTGCAGTCTGCCTTGGTGACTGAGATACTTTATATCCTGCATCTCTGAGTTCTTCTAACTGATATAATAACAGGTGTGTTTCTGCGATTTGGCACGTTATATGGAGGGGGAGAGGTTTTAACATGTGGCTGATTTGTATCTCACAATCTTAATTATTTTTTCCCTAGGACCTCATTTCAACAGCCAACACTATACTAATACGGAAGTAATGCTTTTTACTTTTGCCTCATTTTGTGATAAAAGTACATCAAAGGGCAAAGTTAGAAGCCTGCCTCTAGTCCTTGATCCAGTTTCAGAAAGGGGAGAGAAAAAAAGAAGGGAATGATATTACTGCAGCAAAAATAGTGTGTGAAAAGGGAAGGGTTTGTACGGTGATCCCAAATTATACTACTGCAGTCACAAACAAAATGTAAAAACATTTAAGATTGAAAGGCTTTTTCAGTTAATAGCCCCGTAATTATACTTAACAAAAATTAAATAATTTAAAAACACCAAATGTTAGAATATCTGGAAACAAACAGCTACAGGTCCTTGCACCTCTGCATGGGTCAGCCACATGAGGACATCTGAATTCTGCTGTGGGTGCTCCAGAACTAGGTTATGTACAGCCAGAAAATGTCAAATAAGGATTAGTCTGGAATGGGGGAATAGCACCTATATCCATCCCGGATTAAAACCATGGCAGATCTTTTCTTCTCCTATATTCTGTGACCAACTCTCAGTCTTTATAACATGATAACTTTGAACAAAATCATAAACCTGTCCAGCTGCAAGAAACCTATTTTCTACTTAATCCTGTGGTTCTTCACCATGGTTTGTGGTGGTGATGGCTGGGATGGCCCCAAAGAATTGCTCGAGCCTTCTTAATTTCAAAGACTTCTAAAAGACTAGCCGAAATACATCCCTGGTACAGCTCTATTGACTTCCATGCAGTTGTACCTGCATAATGGGCATAGGGAGTCTAGAGGGTGCTGAGGTAACATTCACTTATACCATGGTTCTATTTTGTCCCATAAAACTATATTCTTCACAATATTCTTCTTTACAGATTTATGACTGATCTCTTTCTGTCTGACCCCTTTATTTTTAAATTCAATCCTTACTCTATTCTCACACTCAGTTGCTAATCTACAGTATAAATCATAGAAATGTAAGACTGGAAGGGACTTTGATATGTCATCAAGTCCAGTCCCCTGCACTGAGGCAGACTAAGTATTATCTAGACCAGCGGTTCTCAAACTTTATTTCATTGTGACCCCCTTCTGACAACAAAAATTACTACATGACCCCAGAAGGGGGGACCAAAGACTAAGCCCACCCAAGCCCTGCCACCCCATGCTCAGGGCGGCCAAAGCTGAAGCCTGATGGGTTCTTCCTTGGATGGGGGGCATGTAACAGCCCTGAGCAGTGGGGGTTCAGCTTTGGCTTCAGCCCTGGGTGGTGGGGCTTGGGCTTGGGCTTGGGCTTCAGACTTGCTGGGGCCCAGGGCCAACACCAGCCTTGTTGACCCCATTAAAATTGGGTCATGACCCATTTTGGGTCCCGACCCACAGTTTGAGAACCCCCGATCTAGACCATCCCTGACAGGTGTTTGTGTAACCTGCGCTTAAAAACCTCCAATGATGGAGATTCCACAATCTGCCTAGATAATTTGTTCCAATGCTTAACTATCCTTATGTGACAGGGTGTGCATACACCGCACTGGGCCAGAAGGAATTAACCCCACACTATGGGCAGAGTAAGTCCTGCTCCTCAGTTTGACTGTGACCAGTTATAACCACTCTGAGTATGATTTTCCAACCAATTGTGTCCTCACCTTATAGTAGGTTCATCTAGACTATAGTTCCCTAGTTTGTTTATGAATAGGTCTGCCAAATAGTTAATTCTGTCATCCATCAAAAACTATGTTTCTCAGTTACTCTCCTCTGTTGAGTCTACCTTTACCTTTTAGCTATTCTTCACATTCCTTTGTTTCTTTCCAGAAAACTTGTAACTTCTTCATTAACCTGTCCAGTTACTCTGTTTTTTTTGTTTCCGTCTCCAGCGATGCTCCTCATAAAGAGTGAAATTAGTACCTGTGCAGAGTGCTGGATCAAGGCCTACATACCACTAGATACCAGCGATGCTCCTCATAAAGAGTGAAATTAGTACCTGTGCAGAGTGCTGGATCAAGGCCTAGATACCACTGATGCCTTATTTTGAGAGTTCCAGGGGAACTTACGTAGTGCATAGGTCTTCTGCTGGCCCACTGCACAGAGGTTAGTTTACTTATAATGAAGTGGGATGAAAGACTCTTTGACTCCCTGTCAATGTGTTATTTGTTTGTGGTGATGCCCAAGATATGCTAGCCAATTTTCAGACATTAAAGAAGGTCTGGTCACTAATCAATGCAGATCACAGTCTAAAGACGGACAAATGAAGACAGTTCAGAGAAAGGAAACAAACAAAAGAGAACTTCTGTTCACAAGATTTACGATAGGCTGCTGATATAATATTCTTTGGCATAGAGAGATTAGTAAAGCTGAAACATTCTGTATTCTTGACCTAGAGTACAGGAATTTAAGAAAAGCTGTCTGCCATACAAACATATATAAAATATGTATACTTTATAGTCACTCTGTATTTTGTGTCTCACCTTTTGCTTTATATTTTGCTTTGTAGTTTCTCTTTCTGACAATAATTAAATGCACATTTGTTTCTTCTTCTTTTTTTTTTCAACAGGCAGTAAAACTTGAAAGTGATTTAGACCCTGATTCCGGAAAACACTTAAGCATGAGTTGAGGATTTTTCCTGAATGCGGTAGGCATGAATAAGGACCTCAGCAGAAGCACAGTCCAAATTAAGGACAAATGGCAATAAGTAGGCATACCATAAAAATATGGTAAATATGGAGGAAATGTCTCCAGTGTTCCAAGTCCAGTGAATCTAAGTTAAAATGGAGCCTAAGGCTTTCCACTGTGGAGGGGGACTTCTGTTTATAACCATTCAGTTGCAAACAGTTGTTATATGATTTGAATATGGATCACAAATCAAAGTCAACGCTGTGATGCATTTGCAAAAAAAATTGTTAATATCATTCTGGGTGTATTAACATGTTTGTTGTATGTAAGACATAGTGTCACACTCTACTCACCAATGGTGAGGCCTCAGCTCGTGTAGTATGTCCAATTCTGGGCATCACACTTCAGGAAAGATGTGGAAAAATTGGAGTGAGTCCAGAGGAGAGCAAGAAAAATGATACAAGGTTTAGAAAACATGACCTATTAGGAAAGGTTAAAAAAACTGGGCATGTTTAATCTTGAGAAAAGAAGACAGAGGGGACCTGATAAGTCTTCAAATGTGTTAAGGGTTGTTGTAAAGAGGATGGGGATCAGTTCTCTGTGTCCTGTCCTGAAGGTGGGACAAGAAGTAATCTGCTTAATCTGCAGCAAGGGAGATTTAGGTTAGATATTAAGAAATCTTTCTAACTCTAAGGGTAGTTACACACTGGAATAAGCTTCCAAGGGAGGTTGCAAAATCCCCATCACTGGAGGTTTTTAAGAACAGATTAGACAAACATTAGTCAGGAATGGTCTAGGTACATGGTCCTGACTTAGCACAGGGAGTTGAATTTGATTACCTCTCAAGGTCCTTTCCAGACC